ACCAAAAGCTGCTCATACTTGCGACCTTGCGCATTTGTGTAGCTCCGATACAAAAGCCCTGCTTTCTCAAAAAAAGAAACATTCTTTTTCTTTCTTCACAAGTTTACGCTTTCCATTAGAGCTTCATCGAGAGGTCCTCATGCTACTCTCGATCGAGCGTTTCTCGATCAACCCTCGACAGCTCACTCCAACTTTCCGCTACAGGCGAGAGCGTTGCGCCCCTCTCGCTCTGACTTAATGGCGCCATGTCGTCTCCCCCTGCTACGGAAACCGCGCCGGTCGCTTCGGCGACGGGCCGCTCGAGTGACTGCTCACATGACTCACACGGATAATTTCCTCTCTGAGGTTCCGTCAACTCGCCGCCAAGGTCACTTGAAGTTTCACAGCATTGAACAAGATCAAGCACCTGCGAAAGCTTCCGCGCTTGCGATCGCGTGAGGGCCATGTACGCTATGTTGGGGAAGAACGATTTACCATGCTCTTTGAGAAGCTGTACTGAGTTGTTAGAGAAAAGATAAGAAAAACTATCGGGAAGCGTGACAGACACAGCCGCTTTGGTGCGAAGCTTACCGAACGGGCCTTCAATTACTACCGTAGCGATTGGTAAGCAAGCACTCTGCCCCTCGGCGACTTGCCTAATCCACGCGCATTCTCCTGTAAAGTCATCCGGAGATACCAATGAAGGATGGACAACATCCATGGTAGCCGCTGAGTCTCTAAGTGCTCGACACGTTCTCCCATTCACCCTAATTTCTTGGAGATACGGCTCTAACACCCGCATGTTCTTTTCCGATTCTCGGAATGTTGCAAAAGCAAACTTTTGCTTACAGTTTATCGCGATGTGCCCTTCCTTTTTGCAGTTGTAGCGGATTTGTGGCTTCCGTGATTCAAACGCCCATGTGGTATGAGTGCGTTGTTTAGGAACCTTACTCGACTTCTCTGCTTCCGTTTGCCATTCCCCTACAGTGTCCTTCGTAAGAGGAGGGTCCTTCTTGAAATTACGGTGCTGGAGTGGGTTTCCGTTGGTCAGGTTTCTTTAAAAAACCCTCTTTCCTTTCATCTTTTTCAACGCGCACTGCCCTGCTATGCAACTTTCGGCGAGTATAATACTCCTCAGCTAACTCTGCTGCCCTGTTTAGCTGTACTTCATCAAGTTTGTCCTGCAGCCAAAGCTTGACATGCTCCTCAATGCAGCGGTAGAATTGTTCCAATGCAATGCATTCCACCATTTTATCGCGATCGTCATAAATACCTTCACCCTTGAGCCATTCAATGAAATCGGCTTTAAGACGAAACACGAAGTCAACGTGTGACTCATTCCCCTTTTTAGCATACCGGAACCTTTGCCTGAAAGCCTCGGGTGTCAACTTATAACGTCTCAAGAGCACTTCCTTAACCTCGTCATAGCTCTCAAACGCTTCCCTCGACAAGCAAGTTATCGCGTCGGACAGTTCGCCGGGAAGAAGTGCTAACAGGTTCTGCGCCCAAAGAGACCGCTCTAAAGCATTTCGCTCACAGACGTGTTCAAACTTGACGAGATACTTCGCCATGTCCTCGCCTACTACGAACGGTGGCAGTTGGTCCAGAATTCTATAACCGCTGACCTGAATAGTCGGAGAAGCTACGCTAGGCGCCTGCGAACACTGTAGGATTGCCTATTCTATTCGTTTAAACTCGAGGCGCTCCTGGGTCTCGGCCTCCTCACGGCGTTCTCGCCTTTCAGCTTCTTCACGTTCGCAAACTTCTACTTCTCGCCTTTCAGCCTCCTCGCGGCGTGCTTTGATATCCTCCCAGGCCTCATCGACTTCCTCAGCCGACACTTCTTCATCCCTCATGATCTCAAGGATCACTAGTTTTCGTTTCGCACAGCCAAAAGTAATGCCGAGTTCCTCACAAATTTCGTTGAGTTCCTTCACTTTAAGGTTCTCCATCATTCTTACTAGCCTCTTGCTGTTTGCCCCTGTTAAGAATTTACTTGCCGTACCCACTATAAGTCAACTAGCAAGACACGCAAGCAATTTTTAACACTCCCGTGTTTACCCCCTCCGCATTAACTTTGGTTTGAAAGCATTTCGACTTGGCTTGAAACGATCAAAGCTCACTATAAGGCCGCGTTAACACTGAGCATTCCGGCCGCCGAAAGTGCTCCGAATCCGGTTCGGCGGTGGCGAGATCCGCCGAAAGGGCCCTCTCCACGCCGATCACTCTCGGACCGATTTTTGCGGCGTCTGCCGCCGAATCGGTCACCGCGGACCAATAGGAGCGCTAGTCAAGAAATTTTGAAAAATGGCGGCCAAGTCCTACTCACTTGTAATGCCGCAGTGCACGTAACTGAATGTTGACACCAACAGGAGTTTAACCTACTCTGTGCCTACTTCGCCTCCGTATTTTGTGAAAGAGGTGACCGAGCTTGCTGTTGGCGTGACCGAGCTTGTTGCGGTCTTGCAAAGCAAAACGAACCCACCAACGCCGCTGGCGTCAGTGGTTTTTCTGCTCTTCGTGCATTAGAAGATAGCCATTTGCCAGCAAAGTAAGCAGTACAGTCTTTTCTTGCTTCTTGCGTACGAAAATCGTCGAAGTGTACACCACCGGATATCGTAGTAGCGTTTGCGAGCTACGACAACAACCGGGTGACAGCGCATTCCATCACGCGTTCGCCCCTTAGTAGATGGCATATTCGGCGGCGCGGAGTGCGTCCAGTGCGAACGACGCTGTGTTTCGGCGGCAGGGGAATTTCGGTCGCTGTAGAAAGCGGATGTTTCAGTGTGAAGTCCGCCTAATGCTTCACACAGCCCTTCTCTAAACTACTATAACCTGTGCTAGAGATATAGTAGGCGAAAACATCACTGAGCGAAACATCACTGAGGAGAAGACATCAGGCACTCACTGCATTGATGTCGCTGACGCCGGCCGATCCCGCCGCTGCCAACCACTGTTACGAAGCGCGCCTCCGACGACGTTACGAAGGGCGCCACGAATCCCACCGCTGCCACCAATGTTACGAAAGACGGCGACGCTAACACGGCCTCGAAGGCGCCACTACTTCGAACTCCACCGGGAAGGTCACCAGCCGTTTGGTAGCGTAGGTTTCTCAGCTCGCGACTGCTTCTGCGCCTGGCTGATAGATGAGCGGGCGAGACGACGGTGAGTAAAACAAGCTTTATGTACAGCATATAAACAGAGGCATTACAAATTCGGCACTGGGGCCGACAGCTTAGAGACTCGGACAGCCGAGCTCTCTCCTCTCACACATAGGTCTACTGCTCGTGACGCGCCACAGGGCTTATTTTATATGCACCGGGTGGATTCTTTGAGTAACCAAATGTCCAACCAGAAGCGCCGCTGGTCGTCAGGTCAGAATCCTCCAATGGGGTCGCCGCTTCGCCGCGTCATTCTCATCGAATCTGGAGCCGCTGTGCTGCAGGTGGCTGCAACCAAGGACGAGTGACGTCGCCACGCATTGCGTCAGACTCGCCAGACAGGAAGGCGCCGATTGCTTCGACGGGCTCGCTAGCTGAGGGGACTCACTGTGCGTGCGCGGCAGAAAGGCACAACCACGTGATGACGCCATTGAGTTGTCTTCGTCAGGCGGGCTCGCGTGCTGGCCTTGACACACATTGCCTTTTTCAGAGGCATGGACGTTCGCTGTGGACTTGAAGGCATAACAGCACACAGCACGAGCGCTCAACTAACAGTTGAGCGCTCGTGCTGTGTGCCTCTTCTTTGCTTTCTGTTCGTGTTTAACCCTGCACACCCAGTTCGCTGAACTAACAATTAGGCGTCACACAATGCGATTAGCTTAACGGGTGGGTCGTCCAATGCTCCAACCCATTACAAAAGCTGGTTCTTGATCGACCCCAAATTCCTTGCAATTGTTAAGTGGATGCCACACTTCTCAGAAGAATGACGAAGGATAGCATTGCGAATGACGGTCTAATAATGCCTAGTGGGTACACAAGAAGTGTGCGTGCAGCAGTTACGCAATGAATGTTTATAAAAATCTCTGAAAAGGCAGCTTTTCTAGCTTTTGCTGTGACAATGTTGCGGCTTCCGCGCAGGCCTGGCCTTTTTTTATTTGCCGAGTGTTTTGAATATTTCTTGGGACACTATAGTTGCAGAAACCGGCGGCAGCGGACAACTACTGCGCAGCATGTGACCCTTGTAATAGCAGCTCTCACTGTGAAACAGCATATGCGCGACTTTATTCATAACAAATACTGAAATTAGGATCTCTGAGCTTTGGGAATACCATTTGTTGCGTAAAGTTGTTATGTAGCGAATAAATAACTAATTATAACTAACAAATATTTACAAAACAAGAAATTGAAGTGCGCAAGGCGGCTGTCAGCAACATGAAACTGATTTCACTTGGCTACTTCTAACATTGTATTTTTGACTCTTGGCTAAAGATATTTGGGGAACCTGCTATCTGTGACACATCTGAAAGATAAGAAAATTGTCTGCTTTTTTAAAGAGCTAAAGCTTTTGTTGATTGCTAATAATTGTCCTCTCGTGATGACTCTTGCCACTGGTCACCGACAACCATGCCCAGATGCACACGAGTAGACAGTATCGTGACTAAAGATACTTTGAAAGGCAATAAGATAACGTTCAGAAGCTAAAAGTTTTATCAAGCTTCGCTAAAAAATGAAGGAAAAAATTACGCTATTTGTGGATAAAGTAGCTTGCGTTAGGATCTCTCATGACAACACAGGATTAAGAGCAACATGCCAAGGACTGCGCAATGTACAACATGCGGTAAAACGATGTCGTACAGAGAGAACAAGAGAAGTTGTCAACTGTAAGAATTATCTACAAGCGGGTAGATCTCTGAGAGAACGCTTAACTACTACTGTCTCATAGAAAACATCATTAGGCCTGTCTTTAGAATAAAGCTTCTCTGTCTTATAACTTTGTCCACGCTAATTTACATATTTCTGGAACGTCAGACAGCGTGCATAAACACAAATAATATTCTGTCGACTACTGTAATGGACACATCAACCGAAGAATGCGCATTTCTGTCTCGGGTTCATCTGCGATCCCATGGGACAGTGGAACGCCCGGGCGAAGGCCTCGAAATTGCGCATCGCCTTGTTGCAGTCTGCTGTGTAAGGACCCACTGCATCCGGGAGTGTGCACATCATATAGCACAGTGTCATGAAAAACACCTTGTCGCCCGAGAAGGCTCCAGGAATGCCTTGCGGACTACTGTCGCTGCCGTCGCTGACCGCACGCTGGTACGCTATGTAGGCCAGCTCTAGTGCGGGAATCTCGGGAAAGACGCTCTTACGTCTTCCCAATGCAGTCAGGTTGGTCTGTCCGCTTCCGTTGGAGCCATTTTGAGCGGCGCTCCGGCATGTGTCTCGCATTTCAAAGGCCCGTGCTGAAGTGCTGCAACAGGAGCGAGAAGTTATGTCACAATACGTTGTATATAAAATCTCGGCTGTACTTAAGTTATTGTCAGTTGACATTGTAACGCACGGAAACATGATCCTACACCACAGTAAAGGATTTAGGTTTCAGCTGATTAGTCCACTAGGTTAAACGCTCTCTAGAACTATACGTAGCGAATTATGGACGCACTTAAGGATGACGAGCGTAAATCGCCCGACGACGAAGGCATGTTATAGCAGTCGTGTCATGACAGCCCATCGGTACAACTTGGGACATGCCCGCACCATAGCCGTAGCTTGGGAATCCTTAGGCTGAAACGGACGAAGCTCAGACGACAAAAGTGTCGTCTGAGCGTGCGCTTCCTGTGAAGCTTTTGTCCCGTCTTCTCGTAATTCACCTCGAAATGTACCCGCCTGTCCAGTTTGTCTTCATTTTGCCATCTCACGCACCTTTGTAAGTGTAGTTACTCCAATAGTTTTAACACACTACTCGCCCCTCCGAATTATTGTAGAAAACAGCGCATTACTTACAAATAAAATAGGACCATTATGACTAGTGTTATGCTGTTTAGAAGAGGAATGAGCAGTTTTTAAAAATCTGTAGTTAACCAACTATAAACTGCTACATGGGATAGCAAGACCTTTTTTTTCTCTAGTCATTCTCAAGTACCCTTGCTGCTATCATAAATACTAAGTCAACATCAGTGCAAGCTATAGTGCTTCTGTCCCATAGCTGTTTTCTTAGTATTGTAAACGAACTGTTGGGCTTGATCCACAGCAACATCTCATACTTAACTAAAGATATGCAAATTATTTTTGATCGCGTACAACAACGCGCTTTGTGCCGTTCATATAATAAGTGCTACGACACGTACAAAAACACCCTCAAAATGTCTTTGTCACAAATATATAGGATACTTTAACAACGTTGCACAGCAAAATGCACATCACAGGGTAATGATGTAAATTCTGGTTACCCTCACTCACTTTGATAGAAAAGAACCGCCGAACGTGCCATCTGGATGCCATCTCAGTCCCTGGCTGTCCAGCGACGATACCAGTTGGAGCGCTATAGAGAATCCTAGTCCACCATAGAACATGGCCTTGGTGCCGCTGAGATAGTAGAGAGGCGCAGTTACTGCACCCACAGCCACCTTGACGGTGTTGCTCGAGGCGTCGTATAAGAAGTACGGCAGTGCATAATTAAGCATGTAGCTTTGAAGGTCCATGTTGGAACGCGGCTGATATGCTTCCGCGGCGCTGTGCATCGACTTGGCCCAGTAACCAGCAAATGAATCTTCAAAACTAGGGAAGGCTGCGTACATATTTCCGAGTATAAAGCTATCAATGTACTTCTCCGGAGGCCACAATTGAAGGCGCGCCGAAGACAACTTCGCGGAGGCGAGTTTTCTGCTCTCCACATCGAGCCATTCCGACGCGTTCAACCTGTCGACGGCGGCTGAGACGAGGCTGTCAAACCCACTGATTACAAATGCGCGCTCTTGCGGTGAAAACCGTGATGCCGAGTGGAGCGCGACCACCAGAAACTGGTAGGTAGTTTCAACGAGCCGTTCGCAGAAATAGGGCCGGTAGATTGTGATGCCTTGCTCGTACCGATTCTCTAGGAGCCGGTAGTCCACCGCCGGTGACATGAGCTGCACGAATGACCAGGCGATCAAGGAGAGCAGCTCGGCGTCCTGGTACGAATTCATCACAACCGCCAACTCAAGGAAGAATCCCGCGTCGCCAAAGAAGACCTCATCTTTCAGTTCTACCTCAGGACCGAGCTTTGTCTCTTTGAATGCACGTAACCACTGCTCGGAACTCAGCGACGTAGTGAAGAGTCCAGTCTCTGAGATGGGCATGAGCACCGGGTTGATTACCGGGGAACGCATGGCCGCCAGGAGCCGTTTGAAGACGTCGCCTTCTATCGCTTTTGTTTTGGCGATGATTGTTTTGTTCACTGCTGACTCGTTGTACCTGCCGCTCAAGATGTAGTAGAACGTTGCCCAGTACTTCTCGTATCCTCCCGAATTCTTGACTGTTACGTGGTGTTGATACATCAGAGGTATAAGGGAGCCAGGATTCATGTTGAAGCGCCAGTTTGGCGCTGACTTCAAGCGCAGAGCTCTCACATGAAAGAAGAGTGGAAACTGCCACTTGAACGCCAGCGCCATTAGTACGCCTAATGCAGTGTTGTTGAGTGACTCTGGTTCCTCTGGCCAAGTGAGCTTGCATTCCTTGAGCATTTCCCAAAATATCTTCACGTTGGAGCCGTATACTGAGTGGTCAGCCATGCAAGATGAGTACATGGCTAGGGGTTTCAGGCCGACCCTGATTGTTTTCGAGCCAAGTGACAACATGTCGCTGAACGCGGGAAACCACAATTTTCGCACGTCGTCCATAGCCGAGTTGGAGTGCTCCAGGTAACCCTGCGGCGGCGACCAGGCGGAGCACACGTAGGCGCTGAAGTCCTCGCACGGGTCGAGGCTGTGGTTCAGTTTGGCGAGAAGACGATAGCTGTGCTGGAAACAGTCTTCAGTCTCGCAATATGGTTCCGTCGGCACTGTTTCTTTCCGCTGCGGCATAAGTACCACGATGACAACTGCCATTACTATCACAGCCGTGACACTCACAGTCAGGATGGCGCGGAATTGCGTGAGCCGCATTCCGGCGACGTTGTATACGACCTCAGAACTGCGTCGCCCCTGAAAAAGAAATGAAATAGAAATGGTACTTCATTATCTATTGAATGTTTTGAAGTGCTATAACTTCGTCACCTACATAATGTGAGACAGGTAACGACTTGCATTTTCCGAATTTAGCGTTCTACCTTTGCCACCTGTCTCATCTGTGGTCTGTCTACGGACTGTTTGTTGATTTGTACGCTTAGCATGATTTGTGCGTGTATTCAGATTCTCGACAATTCAGCTCACAACTGTGTCTCTGTGTGTACGCCGAAGTGCTTCCGCTGTAAGGTGAAATCACTATTTATTCATGTCAAACAAGTCGTGTTCAGAGACGTTCAATTTATTAAAGGGACCGAAGACTAATATTTTTCCACCCAGTTTTTGTGGCATGACATGAAGCTGAGCCTTCGTAGCGTTTGTATATGCAGTAATTAATCGCAAAAGCACGCCTTTATTTTTAAGCAGTATTTTTCGTTCTAAAGGGCTCCAAACAAGGTTGTCGTTATTAATCCAGCAACCCTGAGAATAGATATAGATGCCAGTAGTTCTTCTAGCGAATTGTGCATGCTGTCGTTCTGCTTGTGCAGGATTTCCTGTGGCTATACTTAACCACGTTTATTTTGAGCTTTACAACATTTTCTGAAAATAAGCCGTTACAATGAGATGATGTGGCTTAGTACAGCTTCCTTCTATTGGAACCACGGTGCGAGCGCCTGCGTCTAAGGTTGACGCGCCTGTGTCGTGGTTGGCTTGTCCCGTCATCGTTACTGTTTTGAAACACCAGCCAAGCCATGTTACCGAAAAAAAATAATGCACATATGCGCAACCATGCCGAGTAGTCGTACACGTCATTTCTAAGATAAAATTGAGGTAAAAAAACCACCTCGTTCCACAATCTTAGACACCTCAGAACTACGTGCATGGGATCATCACGTCATGCTAAGGCAGTGCCATTTTATTGCATGCTACTAACTCAGGCCTGTATGTACATTTTATATGGTAATATTGTTTACTATAAAGAAGCAAACACTATTTCAATACTAACAAGAAAAATCTTGCCCGCGCACACTATTTTACGGTCATGTGACAGGGTACATCGATTTATTAAAGTTTCTGCCATCAGATGTCGCCACAGTTTCTTATTGCAATTTAATTTTCAAAAAAAGAAATGTAAATATAACTCCACTTCTCACAAGAAAAGCAGGTTGAGTTTAAGTCACTATGAGGGACAATCCTTAATTATGTAGAACCATCTCATTTCATGTTCTGGTCAATTGTCGGTCCCTCTAAGGTCCCTTTTATCGTACCAGGATACTAGAAGATCACCAGGCCAAGGCACATCTGTACCTATAATGGAAACAAATCAATGAGTTCCGAGGGCACTAGCGCTTGCAAAATGTCGTGTACAGTCGCAGCATCTTTGTAAATGTGTCATTATATTCTTGATTTCTACCCATATGTTGCACCGCAATACGTACGAAAGCAGCACCATCACCTTTTCATCTCCATTGGAAAGAGAACCCAAAAGTGTCGTCCTCTTGCAAGCATACGAAAATATTTTACTAGGATGAAACCTAATCTAAATGCCCACTTTCATATTACTGTCCTGATGCTTACTAAGCTCAAGAATGATTCATCGGTATACTTTAAAAAATGGTCCACTGAATCAAATTGTTAAATTAAGAAAGACGAAGACCTGAAAGCTGTCCTAGTGGCCAGTTTTGAAAGCAATGCTTAAAAACAAGGAATAATTGAATGTGGACCACACATTTCTAAAGAGCTTCTTAGAAAAACTGGTTCATTGATTTACTTGTCCCAGGTGTTCGTAATAACGCGCCACAGATCGACTCTTTGCTGCCTCGAGGCAGAAGCTTTCCATTGTTAGCATCTGGTACTCTCTTTACGCGGCTGATATAGTTGGGCGCTTCTCGGCGAATCGCCTATTTGACACCTTTTTGCACTCTAACTTCTCGCCAAAAAAAGTATTCACGGTAAGTGTATCCAGGCGGACGCAAGCTCTGTGTCGGCGCATACCTCGTATAAGCTGAAAGCTTGGAAACTCAAAATAAACGAGAACAGTAAAGAACACAGATAGACAAGAGAGCACTAAAACTCGCAACTAAGCTTTAACTTAGCGTGTAAGTGTCAAAGAACCAAACTAGGCTACTTGCCGAAGTGTTGAAGACGACGGGCGAGGACCTCTTTGTTCGATGATCGCTGCGCTCGTTGCTTATGACGTTCAGTCCTTGGAGGAAGGATGGCATAGTAGGTCGACGCTCAGAACTCCTCGAGTCTTCGCGCACGGACGACCTCCGCGAGGCGCTGCGTTTCGGTGACTGGTCAGTCGATTCGGGAACTGACGTCTTCACGGTTGAGCTTTTCCTCGAAGGTGTAGCGCTACTCCTTGCGATCCCAACCTCAGATGATTTCACACCCAACTGCGAACCTTGGATCTTCGTTCCGTCGTTCCCCGTCATCGCCTGTGCAGAGGAGGGCTGCGGGATGGCTTCCGTTTTTCTCCTGATCGGCGTCAGCTGGGGCAATCCTTCGTGATCGCTTCGCGGGACGAGCATACGAGACGAATAACCGTTTGTCACCGCGCCGTCTTTCTCGTTTGATGATGGCGGTGCCGAAGAGTGCGCAGCCGGCTTATGCGAATCGTGAGTTGTCGGGGCATCTACTTCCTTCGAAGGACCAGCGAAGGCGCTAGAATCGTCACGAAAATACCGCCTCCTCTTTCCTTTGGCATTTTTGCTGATGCCGGCGCTCGTACCACTGTCTTCGTCGTCGGTTTTTTGCTCCCTTGTGAGCAGTGACCCTTGAGTAACAGTCAAAGTCATTTCTTGAGCATTATCGATCGTACCCCTGCTGCGCCTACGCTTTTGTATTCCCGAGGTGATCCGAGGCAGCTCACCGGTGGCGGATCCCGCGGACTTCCTTCGCGGTCGCTCTCGCTTCTTGGTCTTCGACGCGCCTTTTAGAGGATCCATATTTCTTGGTTTGTTGCTGGGGCCAGCAGTCCTCGTTGTTCCAGGTCTTTGAGCAGTCTTAACAGACGGTGCGCTCTTGAAGGCTTTCTTCTTCTTCTAGCTCGCGTGCAATCCGTCACGCGCTTGAGCGAAGGTCCATTCAAGGTGGCCTGTTGGTAGCATTTCGACGCTCTGGCTCACCCATCTGTAAGAGAAGGTCCATGATTTTTGCCAAAATAAGGAAGAGAAACAAGAAAACTGAACGCAAAATGTTTAAGTAATTAATAAAAAGTCACATGTTTAACGTGCCAATGCTCACAGGCCAGGTTAACAGCTGTATTATGTGTACATGAATTGATGGAATTCTTGCGGAATTTTGGTGCTATGCTAACTGCTTTTTCCTTTCCTTTCTAAATTATTTATTTTTACTTTGGCTGTTGTCGCTGTTGTGTCGTAGATTTGGCTCCGGCTTCATGTTTTCGCTGAACGAGACACCGTCGCATATTAACGAAGTTGCAATCAAAGGAAAAGGCTTGAGTGGGTAGAATTGGTTGATGCACTCCATGTTTTTTTGTTTAGTTTTTCTCTGAACATCAGTAGTTCAGTTAGTCGCACGGATGCATGTCAATATATTGTTGCGATTGTATTTATAAGATACTTATTGAGCTAAATAGCCCGAGCACTGTGCCACTGCTACCACTGGGTTGTAGTGAGGGAAGAAGAGGAGGACAACGTGAGCTGGGGATACGCAACTACGATACTGACTGTCGGGCTATTTTACCCAGTAAATATCATGTAAATACAATCGCAGCAATGTGAACATGAGCAACGATAAAACTTTATTTCTGCAGCCAGTCCCAATGCAGGAAGCAATTCGAACGATCGCATGTTTGAAGAAAAGCAGCAGTACAAATATAGACGAAATGCTAATAAAACGCGTAAAATTAGTACATACGTAATCGTACCAGTCATTGCTAACATATTTGATATGTGTTTAACTATACATCAATATTTCTCTTGAAAATTCACACAGCCAAGATAGCATTGCTTTTTAAATGACGGAATAGGAATGAGTTGGCTATTTACCGCCCAGTATCTGTATTACCCTTTTTTATCAAAGCCTCACAAAAAAATCATTGTATGCTCTGTAATTTTGTTGGAAGCTCTGATATAGTACGTTATCAATTTAAGTTGTCGCGACGGGCAGACAGAGGTGGTTATGTTGTTTGTTTGTTTCCTCTATATTATGGCACATCCCCACTCAGAGCGTTCGGCCTAGAAATCATAGCGTAACCTTTCAATCAATACTACAATACTCTTTATTGAAAACTAACAAACCATAACACACGAAAAATGCTAAAAAACCCAAAGAAAGAGAGAAAAGGAAAAGATCAGCCCAAAGTGAAATTCTGAAAATTTTAGCTGACCAGACAAGTGCGTTTGCTTAGAATTCGTGTATGAAAACAATTAATAATGCTACTTGCTAAGGTTAAAGCTTGGGCGAGTTGGTTCAAATACATGATTAAAAACACAGCGCAAACAACGGCAGGAAGAAAGGAAGAGACAGGACAGAGCGCTCTCTCTCAAAAAGAGATGGACTTCTTATCTGTAGGATGAACACGTGTGCGGTGAGACAGTAGCGATATGGTGATGGCGACGCTTGTGCGAATTTTTTGATATTGTGGTGGACACGTGTTATTTGCCTGCCATGATATATATTTGTTCGCATTTCCTAATAAAGATCAGTTGTAAGTACAGCGCTCTGTCCTGTCTCTTCCTTTCTTCCTGCCGTTGTTTGCGCTGTGTTTTTAATCATGTAATAATGCTACTTCAACAGCATTTATTATATTAGAGTTGATATTTAAAGTGGTATAACAGAACGAAATCGTAAACTTCGTCGAATGCGTCCCCGTGACAATCTCGAAAAACAGAGGCAGCGAATTTCAGCACAGTATATGCCGTTAAACGTATACCCACCTTCAAAAATGGAATAACTGAAAGCCTTTTTTTAAGTAAAAAGTATCGATGGCATGATAAAAAATATTGTTT